TAAATTATCGAATTGTCCCGTTTCTTTCTCGCGGGTGTTTTTTCTTCCCCCGATGTTTTGTGGGTTTTGAGGCTAAGACATCGGATGTCCTCGGATCTCTGGATTCAAGTCCCAAGCAGTCGTAAAGATTTGATTGTCGCCAAAAAGCCTCACTTCCTGAGTTCCTGGACTTTATACTTTTTGGGAACACCACTTTAGTGGTAAACCAAAACAAGAAAATACTTTCTGGCCAAATCCGCTCAGGAAGTGAGAAACTCGGTGGGTTCTCCATGGGGTACAGCTCTGAGGTTAGATTCCCTGTGCATGTTCAGGGACGTGCTTGTCTCGCCCTGCGCTCAGCGGAGATTTCCACTCTTTGCGGTCCAAACATCACCGCTGGGCCCAGTCCCAAATTGAGTTTCGATGTTGGACCTGCCCTTGTCCGGGCGAGTGGGCGAGTGGGGGGAGGGGGCTGAACTCAGTGAAGATTGTGCGTCCAATTTTGGGTGTCCCTGAGGTTTCAATGGGCGTAACCCTACCTGCCAACGGCCCAAACCGGTGGCTTGGAACGCGTCCTGGTGTGGAGGCAGTGGGGGGTTTCCATGAGTGTATTGAGCGTGGTTCCTTTGGCAACAATAGGAAAAAATCCTCATGAGCACACCCAATGCGATTCAAAGGCATCGAAAGAATTCCTGATGTACCCATGGGTTTAGACCCTACCATGAGTTTACGTCCTTGAGTGCCAAAGTCCGAGGTCCATCATTTTCGTCGCGCTTACTCCCTTAGTGTTCCTGTCTGGCATCTCCGAGTGGATTTGCCGGACACTCAGCGCTCGATCTCTTGTCACCAGGATCGCGCCTGCCATGAAGCCCCAATTCCGTGAAGAACTCGTGCCAGAATTTGTCATTTGCACTTGACAGTTTCCACTACACCCCTCCATAAAAGGGGAGTCGGCGGCGGTAGCCTTGTTCAAGGTCTATGTGCGTGAATCCACAGCTACATGGATAGCCCCCTGTTGTGAACGCCACCTATCCATCATTTCTTCAATTTATGGTTGAACTGAGCCGCGTTGGGGCCCGATTTCGACATTTGTTTTGTTTTGTTTTTTCTTGTTTTGGGGGGCGGGGGTCCTACATTCACTCCCTGGGAGGCCCCACATTTAGCATCCACCACCTCATCATCTACAGGCCGGACTTGGCGTTTGCAGCCTTGCAGCCGATGTCTATGAGAGCGGCGCCTGCGTGACCCCTGAGAGAATTGGCAGCTTTTGCCACAGCCTGGCCAGCAAGTCAACACAACGTCTATAGACTGTTGGCTTGGTGGCCCCTCACTCAACAAATCCAATCTTGGTGAAAAGGCCACCTCAAACTGAGGCTGTGAAACGGCCAGACCCATTTAACTTTCGGGCCAAACATTTGCACTTCGCAAGTAAGAGGCTTACCCATGAACGTGAGGCTATGTGTGGGCAGGGGTGGCGTCCAAGATTGTGTGCCTGGTGGTTGTAGAGTGGCAGTGAGGCCGGCATAGAACTTCACAACCGTTTGGGCATAGCCAAGGCAAGGGTGAAGAGGTTTTTGGAGATCAGTTTAGCAAGTCATAGTAGAGTTGTAAATTACAGTGATTTGTTTGGGTGCATGATTTTGAGTCTACTCTTGTGGGGGTTACGTTGAAGGGGTACGCCCCACCGCCCCGAAAAGAGTCACAGGTCACCCAAATGGGGATTCCTCTGAGCGGAATTTCAGGAGAGCCTGTTTTGTATCTAGGTCTGCTGGGAGAGTCTCGCCAGGCAGCCAGGGCACTCCGACCGGGAGAAGTTAGATTTGGATCCCATCATTGCTCGGATGTGCCGCTCTTCCGCAATTGCAACTGACTCTGCGCAGTGCCTGCCTAAGAGGGCCACTTCGCCCACTGCCCTCACGGGAAGACTGGCTGTATCACCACTAATTATCCGAGCAACTGACAATATTATTGTGTTTGGAGGACACGGGATAATGGACACCCCAAACTCCGCATCGAAACCAGGCAAACACCTGCCCGAAATTTCCGATGTTGGAATCCAAGCTGGCCCCCTCGAAGGCAGATTTGCATGGAACCTCAGCCATCACGCTTGGAGACATCTCCTTTTGGTGGATACCTGTCCGGTTCCACGTCATTTTGCAGGGGAGTATGTCAGGAGTTGCTGTTGGCTCAATGTTGATGCAGTCTTGGTGTGCTTTCAGACATGTGTGGCAGCACGGGCATGCTTCGTGGCAAGTTTGCTGAGCCCTCTGGCGCTGAAACGTATCTCACCGAATTGCCAGGTCATGTAACGGGCATCGCCCTGCATCATTAGTTGAAGTGGCTGAACGGTTTGCAGTTTGAAAAACATGAACCCTGCCACCCCCATCAGTCGCTTCAATCTGGAAGACCAATACGGTGCTTCATATCAATGTCCATTACTGTGGGGCAGCTGGGGCAGGGTTTCAAGTAGTCATTCGCACGGGAAGTACGAGCCTGGAGGGTGAGGCGGGCTTTCTATTGCCAAAGACTCTTGCTGAATGGTTGTTTGCCAGTTTTGTGCCTGCTTTGGTTCGACCTGTCAGGATAGCTGTTCCAGCAAGTGATTCGCTTTGTATTGTTTTTTCCAGTAAGGATTATGGCTTAGAATTTGCGGGCCTTAGTAAGGGGCCCCTCCCCCTTGTGGCATCCGTGTTAACATGCAGGGGAGGGCTTAACCTTGCCATGCGAGGTTTTGACGGTGACGACGACACCGAGGACCAGCTACCTTGATAGGATGTGCTTGGTTGGATTGCACGGCTGATGTTCCTTGCATCGTTGCGCTCTTGAAGTGTTGCAACCTGTGGCGATGAAACTACAAAAGTGGGGAGAGAATCACAGACATTTGCCGAAAATAATTCCCTCACCTGAAAAGCAACATATAGAAGGGTGGGATATACAGAAAAGAAGCTGGTGCTTAAGAAGCTGGCAATGTCTGAGCTTGTTGTATCCAACCTGCTCCATACCCCAGTTCCAGCAGCTCCTCTCTCAGTTCCAGCAGAGCCCCAGACCCACCACCACCACCACCACCACCACCACCAACCTTACCACGTACCACTATCCACCATGAGCACCGCCAACCAGCAGAGTTTGTTTGAAATGAGATTGATGCACCTAACATGTGTCCTTCTTAGCCGCCTTAGCTTCCTCGAAGAGGTGGTGTTGGCGTTGTTAAGGTAGGGAATAGAGAACAAGTGTTGCACCCAGGGCCACTAGCCTTGACGGCTCTTCTAAGTTTCCCAAAATGGTCCCAAAATCTACCAAGAAGAGCTGACCTGTATTACTGAACCAATGCAAAGCATTCCTGGGCTAGCTCAAAGGAGTAATGCTCCAACAGTCAACCAATTCTGAAAAGTAAAGCACAAGGATACTAAACCAACACTAAACCCATACTACTCCGATGCTAAACAGTACTTACTGGAAGACTACTTAGGCAGGCCCCAGTCTGACCCCCATTCTGTTTTAGGATTTTCTCTATTGACCCCCTCCTTCCCCATTTTAGTTGTGGAGGCCTTGACAAATCACTTTCCAACATGAGTGGACATAACACCTCATGTACTTGATGTCCACCAAAGGGTGCCAGTTAAAACAGATGTTATCCTCCGCCCATTGAGGACACAGACGGAAGTGACTATTCGCGCGATTCACATGTGTGCTCTTAGCGTGGGCGCCCGGCCAAAAAACACGCTGGGTGTGGCTGGCTGCCAGCAAGCACCTCAAGACAGCACAAACTCGCAACTCAGTGCGCTGGTGCGAATGTCATTTCATGCGGGGCGACAGCGCCGGCTTGGGGCCGTTGCATAGGGCGAGAGATTTAGTTAGCGATTTGAGGGTTGGGCTTGGCAAGATTCACCCGTTTACCACTTCGCCCTTTTGGGCTGCCACGGTCCAACCTGCAGTTTCGCAGGAGGTGCCAAAGGGCCCTCAAAGATAGGTAGCGAGGTAGGCGATGCGATAGGCTCTCCTCCGTAGAAAAGTTCCTCGGACGAGGGGGGCGACACCTCCAAGAATCTAATACCCCGGGGGGTCAATGTGGAAATAATGGAATGATATGGAATGCACAGCCAATGAAAAGGGTATAGACCACATTTTGGGTATTGGTTTGCAGTAGCAAAAGCAGTTTTGGACAAATTGTGTTGTTGTGTGACCCGCCTTTCCCGATCAGATTGCCATACTGGGCGTCTCAGATATGGATTCGGGGAGTTGTGGATGCTTCTTCTCCATTCTCCAAGGGACTTAGTACCAGCTTTTCATTTGCACGGCTTTTCGCTTGGCATGTTGGTCGCAGTCGCTCACCGATCTTTTGACCCGTCGGTTTTGTTTTATCTTGGTCAGGGTCACAAACTTACTTCCGTGGTTTATGGACTGCCAAGCTTGTGGGGAAGATCGCGGTCATGGCAATTGACTTTATATCTGGGCTCTTGCTGACAAGCCCACTCTGAAAGTCACCAATAGATGAGCCATGTAATGTCCTAACGCCAGGCACTCAAAGCGCTAGCTCAGTTGCCCAAAGCCGGCGTTTCGCCGTTTTGGCTCGCCTTTTTCAGGTAAGTCGTACGTTTTTTGATTTGTGCTTTGAGGGCTCGGGCATCCAGAGTATTTGCCTTTTGCACCACCCAAAGAGACCTCGGGGCACATATCCAACCCAACTGCGCCGCGGTACCCTTCATGGGCCCTGCCAGAAGGTTTTGGGAAAATGAACTTCCAGGACCTCCTGTTGAAGTTCCATGGTGCTTTTCAACAGAGCATGCGCCATGCATCGCTTGTCGAAACCTTTAGGCTCTCGATACTTAGAAAAGCGCAAAAGAAGGGCGATTTCAAGGTGAGGTTCGCACCTTGTGATCTAATTCTAGCAGTGTTGACTCGCCCAGAAGACTGAGAAACGACCCACATTGCGACCCACATCGCAAGAATCAGGAGATGATCAGGACGTCAGGTGCCAGCATCAGGCATGTGCTGCATGAAAGTGACAGAGACCAAGACAAAGTGAGAACCACAATTTTGGAGACCATCGCCGGTCATGGGCTGCAGGTGCGTGCTCATTTTGGGAGCCCAGGTGTCCTTTCTGGTGTCAGCTTGGTTGCAAAAGGGAAGTTGGGTTTCCTTGTGGCTCTCTTGACTCCAACTGAAAAAGAGGCTCCCTTCGGGACCAATGTAGATGTGCTGGTTTCAACAAGGACACCTTGGGTCGGCAAATCGCAAAGTTAGCAAATCGCAAGCTCAGGGTAAACGAGCTCACTTTGGCCAAGTCGTTCTGCATCCACGTTTTCGCGCTCAACGGGCTCACCACTAAAGATGATATACCCAAAGTGCAAAGGAGCCGGTCTGCCAGGGTCGCGCATTTCGGATGTGAGAATGGCGGTGCAGCAGATATGGGGCGCGTCTCTTTAGGCGGTATTTGTTCCGGGGAGTATGAAACCAACCATCCTAGGGGACACTTCCCCATTCTTTCCAGGGATCCTTCTTTTCCGAAAACCATCAGAACCCCAGAAAAAAACAGCTGGTTTTTTCAAAGAACGATGGTTGAAAAGAATGGGGAATCAACCCCTAGAACCATGGGGGGGATGTACCCGCATGCCAGGCAGCACAGGATACGACCTGTGCGGAGAGGCGGGGGAATGTTTTGATGGTCTCAATGTCCCACACCACGCATGGAAGAGCTCCCTTCTGCAAAAGCAACACTAAATCGGCAATCTTTTCGATACGCTTGCTGCTTCACCTGCTAGAGGTCAGATTGTGGCAGGTGTGGCGAAACCTCCACAAGATTGCAATTTCCATGAAGTAGGTGTTGATCGTTTGATGCTTGGTTGCGAACTTTCTTTGTGACCAGTTCTGCGGATGTTTTCGAGGTTCACTCATGGTTTGTTTTCACAACTGCTATCATTGGCAAGGTGTTGAATGGGGCCCTTCTCTGCAGTTAGCAGTTTGGCAAGTACGCTAGTGAAACCCTCTCACTAAAAAATGTGAATGAAACGAGCTCGCCATGATCCGGTTGGCGTGTGGCAAAGGCCTGCGGACCTGAAAGCCATTTGGGTTAAAAATTTGTGAAGTGCCAGTGCACTGCTTTGCTTTTTTTCAGAGGGACCTTCCCTCGAGAATCAGCGCCTTTTTCCGCATGGCCACTGTGGGTTCGGTCCGTTTTGTCCTTTCCTTTCTGGGACAGATTCCTTCTGCAGAGCCAACTTGAAGGCTTGTTCGAAAGAGACACGGGTGCTCTCAAAACGCATGGGCAGAAGATTTGTAAATGGTGTCCTTTAGTTTCCCCTCAACGGAGCCTGATTTTCTACCCTTTTGCCATGATCTTGGAAGCACCCTGAAACACTCGTTGCAGAACCAAACGATGTGCAACGCATCGGATAGCATTTCCGTGCAGATCTTCTGGCACTGCTGCTCCTGCCCTCAGTGGGGGCGCCTTGGATGTCAGAGTTCAGGGAATTATTTCTAGAGTTCAGCCCTCCCTGTTCGCCTTTCCGCTACCAGATTAACTCTAGACTTTTGTCAGGAATCAAGAACAAGGTGCCGGAAATGATGGGCCATCCGATGCAAAAAGGGACATAGGATACGCCCCTGCAATTTGACATGGAACCCAAAAAGAATCGAAGGAAAACCGACGGAAATAAAGCAAGAATCCAACTACCTTGTGGGCACCTCCTTTTTATTGAAGCACCCAAATGGAGCGATGTCTTGTTGAAATGTTCTGCGTCTCACCGGTTGCCTTGTTACAAGGTCGGGATCTCTGTGAAAGGTTGCAGACCGGAGCATGTGTGAAAGCACAATTTGCTTTTGACGGCGACCTTTCCTTAGAAAGAGTTGAGAGTGTGCTTGCGCACGAGCCATGTTGTTTGCTGGTGGTCAGGTGAGTAACCAGGATGGTTGCGCGAAGCGCCGTCTGCAAGCCGAGGTTGGGCAGCCAGCTCCGCCTGTAGGCGGGGCCAGATTGCCAGTCCTCTCAGTGAAGAGTCACGTGGGCTTGCCTCAAAATAGTGTCAGAGGTTCAATTTCTGCCCTTCTAGACCGCCGACGGGCAGGTGAATGCCCGCAGTCTGAATGGGTCTTGGCCTCAGACCTGAAGCTGGACAGGAGATATGGTTTGGTCAGAATGTCCAGTCCGTTGGACAGTCTGAGAGGAACATGACTGCACGAAATTTCAACCACGAAAAGAAGGGGGGTGGCTCACGCATTGCCCCCTGTCCATTGTAGGAACAGCATATTCGACCTTCTCAAACCAAAGCCAAACACGGAGAGTTGGAGAGAAGGGTATCAACCAGGTTGTTTGGCGTGATTCCTTCATACCCTCATGTTCCAACTTCCTGGACTGGACGTTCTTTTTCTATGCTTTTGGCAAGGACATGTTGGTGAACATGAAGTTCCGCCTTGAAGCAACGGGGCAATCAGCTCAAATAAGTGCCAGATGACCCTCAGGTCGCCTTTTTCGGTACCCGTTCAGGGCTCTGATTGCACAGAAATAGCGAAGACCCTAGCAGCACGCCTCGTGATTTGAAGCCCCAGTTGGGGAGGCCGCCCGGAAGCCCCGAAGCCAATCCAAGCAGCTGGCTTGGGGATGTTTTTGGTTGCAATCCAAGTTGGATTTCACGACAGATATGTGGTTGGTGCGGAATCGGCATCCAGGTCCTCCCAAAGAAACCTTCACCGGAAGCTTCTTGGTCCTATCTTAGTATTGATCATCAACAACGCAATGACCAATGTGCCATGATCCAAAGGTGGCATTGCCTTGGGCGGCCCAGTAGAATTGCCCATTCATGATGCACGTTTCAACTTGATGGGCATTCCATGATGAAGTCGACATGGGCAGCTGCTTCCAGGACCAGCCATCCGACACATCTATAGATGTTGATGGCCCATCACTGCAGGTTGGGTTGCGCACAATGCCATGTTCTTCAGGGAATTCTCCATTAGCCAACCCCCCTTGTAGAATGGTAGAAGAATGTGTCAACAAGAAGCGCCATGAAACATGCCTGTGGGTCATGCCTTGCGACCCTTCAAAGGTGTCGATGTCGCTTTCTTGGAGATCCATGTCATATCTTAGGTTGGTGAGTCGTGCTGCCAGGCTGCCAACTACCCCGCAAAAGGAAGAACTGCCCAAATAAGGGAAAAATGGGGCCATTCTCAGCAACCCGGCATCGGCCCAGGTAGATCCACAGACTCCGCCTTCTGCATGCTCTCAGCGCGATTCAGCTGGTCGAGACTTGACGTTGGTGTTTTCCGATGAATTCAACGTCCCAGGCCGGGATTTGGCTAAACGAGCTGAGCAGATCGGAAGCCTCAGGTTCCCCTACATTCCTTGATTGGCGGCTTTTTCAGCTTCTCTGATTGGCGGCTGTTTCAGGTTCACATGTTGTCGGCCACATTTAAAGTGAGTTCCTTTGGGAGTGATGAAATTTGTAAAAGTAATAAAAATCCCCGGCGTCCGGCATAACATGGGCTGCGCAGGCCGAACTTTTGCGGATGGCCATGATCCTGTTTGGACTGCAATCACTGGCTGCGACCTTATTCACAGATTGCACAGGATGCTCAAGCAATTGTTTGCATGTCCCATAGTCTGAGGGTGCTAGGCTAGGGATGATCATCAACCCCTTCACAAGGGTTTCAAATGTCCGTTTTTTTTGATTCTGGGCTCAGATGAAGGAAACCATTATCATGGCTCATAAAAAGAGATGAAATAGTTTTGACTATTCTTTTTATGTTGCCGTGTGTGGGCTGCATGGAGTACCGTGCGGATGGTGTTTCCTTCTCGTAAAAACGTGACCTGAGGTTTTCCATCAACCAACGACCAAGAGAACTCCTACGATGATTCTCCGCACCATGCCACCACGAGCGATGGCAATCTTTGGTGCGCGTCTCAAAGAGAAGTGTTCAGGGCTCCGAGCCAAAGGAATGTCGAGAATGAAGCGCGTCTGTTTTGAGGTAAGGCAAGCTTAAAGGAAACCAACCAGTTTTGGTTCGCCCCACGTTCGCCTAACAGAAATGACGCCCGATGGAGGGGTCAACTTGGTTTGATTGGGGAGATTGGGGAAAGGCCGAGAGGGAGTATAAACGCGTTGTGACTTTTGGTAGAACCCATTTAACCTCTAGTCAGTTAATTGGTTTGGGGCGCTGCTCAAAGGAAAGCTTGAGGTTCCTGTGCCCTGAGCACTGTGTTTCGGAATGGGGAGACGGACCTGCAGTCAAGCAGCACTACCATCCCACAAACAAACTTTGCTCATCGGCCCCCTTTTGTTGGATCCCTGCACAAGGCGGCACAGCATGCCACCAGGGTTCCGAAAGGCAAAGGGGGGACGCCCTGTTCATTGGGCGGCTGAAGCCCTTGCGATTGCCAACTTGAAGTGAGCCGTGGGCCAAAAGTGTCAAGATGCGCACGAAAATGGGTGACCCTTGCCCCATAACGTGAGACGCAGGCTTCTTCGCTGCTTCCTTTTCGCAAGGGGTGTGTCACGGACCAGTCCGTAGGATTGTCAATTCGAGCTGCCTTTTCAACCAGCCACCCAGGCTGCGGATCTCGAACCAGGAGAGCGTGCTGAAGGTGGTGAACGCTAGCAGCGGCAAGATGGAAACCAAGCATGGGGCCTCAGATTCTCCGATAAGACAAGCCACGCTCAGGCTCATGGAAGGCCGTTGTCCCTGTCAAATAGACGGACTGGCCTCGTTAGTTTCCTGGCACCTGCGAAGAAAAGTCGTTTTAAGCAAAGACACCCGCTTATTAATAAGCTGGGGTTGGTTGTATACTTGGGGTCAACATTGTTCGACAGTATACGACTTGGCGCGGCCGCCTAAAAGAGGCTGCCTGTTCGTTCAACTCTTTAGTTGGGGGAACGCATTTTGATACCAGCTGTTGCTTATGACTCCGTTGAACAAGGCCTTGGAAAACTCTGAATGGTCACAGGTTCGAAAGATGTTGACTGCCATGGGCGCCTTTCACATTACCCACAGATGGGTGCGCTTGTTCTTTTCTAGCGGGGGGAAACCAAAAAGAAACCCAGCATTTTGAAGTGTCCCTTCAAGACATACGCACATGTTAAAGTGAGCGATGATCGTTCCACTCATGATGCCTTTGGTTCTGCTTCTGGTTCCACCCTGTTCTTACTTCCCGTGCTTGTTGGTCGTGTCGGTTCTGTGGTCCTCTAGGTCCCCCAGTAGTGCCCTTTCACCCTTTTTGGGAGAGGGTTCCCCTACTAAAACAAACTACAGAAAAAAGTTGGCACCCTTATTCTAAACTCTCTACCTAGTCATGCTTCCCGTATGGATTTGTCCACTCGAAATGTCCAAGGACTCGGCCGTACACCTCCGCCATGCTGCAGAGCTGGAACAAGTTCTGCTTCACCGGCGGTGTGGCCCGGGCCCGAGATTCATTTGGCGAGGGATGCGAGACCCATTGCTAAACACGTGTGGCTGGCTGGTACCCAAAATGGTTTGCCCTGGCAGAGGAAAACATAGACTATAAAACCCAGTGGTATAGTTTTGACCCATACCCACCCTTGTGAAACGATGTCAAACTGCTTGTTTGTGAATGCTTCTCCTTGGGTACCTATGGGAGCCCATTCCTTAATTGTTTCATTGTGGCTCCTTTTCAAGGAAATCGATGGCAGATGGTTCATGGGACCGCGCCGGCCTACACAAGCCCAATGATGGGGTTGACGGTCCATTCTCGAGCTAGTATTGGGGTATATTGGGGTCATACCCGGGGGCCCGCTATGCACCGCGCAGCTGGTAGATCAGCCATGTTCAGCAGGCGTTTTCCCGCGTGCCTTGATCTTGCACCTGCACATCCTCGGGCCCAATGATAACGCATAGTGATGGGTGTAATGAACTCCGTGGAGAGTCGGCAAATTGTACAGGACCTGAGATGAGAGATCGCCATGCATCCTGTGGCTGCTCACTGTTTGGTTGCGAAGTTTATTCAGTTGTCATTGGATTGTTGTTAGTTGCCTTTCGAATATGGTTGGTCTTTCTCCGGGTATTGCTGTTTCAAGATCGCATGCGCGTGAGGTTGAGATCTCGGCCAAGTTTCCAGGGAGACCTGTCAGGATCTCAGCTGGTCGCAAGCGAATCAACCAGGGACCTTGTGGTTCCCTTGGTTCCATCGTTCAGCCCAAACAGATGGTCCTTCGGCCGCTCCACGTCTTTTCCGAAGTGATCATTTAGCGCTTTCAGATGGGTTTCGACCAAACGTATACAAGTGCCGACGCGGGAGCCCTGTTCACTGTTTGGAGGCAATTTGGGAAAGCCCCGCAGGGCTGTTGCGCCCAGGGTGGCCCTTGGTCTTGGAAGAATAAAGTGTCCCTTGGCGACAGGCCCTGTAGTTGCCAATCATGGTGAGTTCCTTTCGTGGTGCGCGTGCCCGGTGAAGGTGTTGCAGACGTAAATCGCGCGGTTCCGACAAGCGGTTCGTTGCTCGGCGTGCCCGGCAACTCACTTTGGAGACGACCGGTTCCTTGTGGATGTTCCAATTGATGCCGTGGCCCGGGGCAACTGGTCAGTCCATCCGCGTCTTGCCATGCAGCATCATGGCCTTCCCTTGGGAATTGAACCTGTTGGAAAGCGAGTTTCCACTTTGGATTGGAATTCAGGTAGAACCTTGCACAACAATCCCCTCCTCCATGTGTTGCATGTTTTGATGGGAACCCTTGCGAGTTGTTTTTGTGTTTCAGAACCTTCTGAAACGTTTGACCAACTAACCTGTTTCAGGTGGAGGCTCAGACAATTGCACGTTCCCCCCCCCCGTCTGTTGGTTGGGAGCAGAGAGCAGAAAGGCACTCCCCTGATTTCAAGGCAGTGTTTTGATCAAATCCGAGGATTTGCCGGGCCTGTGGCCCGCCTTTTGGCTGTTGGGGAACCTGGGGTCCGCCTCTCAGCTTTGCGAAATGCATTCGAGACTGCCGTCACTGGTGGCGCATTTGAGTCGGGAAACCCTCTACACCCCGGATGGCCGGGTCTTGCGGTTTCTCCTTTGGGTTCCCTGCGCGTTCTGTTTCAAGGCTTCTCTCTGAAAGCCCTCGGCTTCCAAAAATGCAAGAGGTGCCCCATCCCAAGGCCCCCCCATTTCAATCCCCGTAACAAAGTGCGACATCCCACGACATGGCCGCCTGTCACATCACAAGTGGTATCCCCTTTTAAAGGATAGTCTTGAAGGCAAACCGCGATGAAACCGAAAAGCCACCTGGATGGCGAGAAATTGCATGCATTGACCACAAGCTTGATGAATAATAAATATGACTGGCCTTTGTTGAACGTTTGGTAGGCTCTACAAGGCTGCTTCTGAGGGCAGATGCTGTTGTGCAGTCATGGCGCAGCTTGTGTTGTGACCTGATGCTCGGTGTTGCCCTCAGCGGGCGTGAGCGCACCCCTCCCTCTCAGGCGGGCAACAGTGGAGACGTCAGTGAACAATGCCTGCCGCCCAGCATAGCCGAAGGAAGCCGAAGCTTGAGCTGCGTGCAACCTGAACAAGTTGTGTGTGTGTGTGTGCGTGT